GGTTAATTGGGGGGGGGGGAAGGAGACATCTGTAATACTTTCAACAATAAAGATAAACTAAAAACAAAAAAAGGACATGCTTGAAGCCTTTAGCCAGGACAACCTTGAATATCAGACATGATACTTGTTTTGAGGGTACTTCCAAAATAAAATATGCTCACATTTTTAATTGTCTTTCCTATATCAGAGGCACCATAGATAACCAGAAACTCACTGAGGGACAATTAAAACAAAATCTCAAAACCATATGCAATGAACACTATTAAAACCTTAATATATTACAATGTTCAAAAATTATACTCTTATAATTTTATCATGCCTGAAGTTATCCAAACTCTTTCTACAGTTTCTTATCTAATAACATTACCAGTAATCTGACGTTCTTTGCTCTTTGTTTCTTTCTTTTCCTCATCTCTTCTTTCTTTCAGTCGAGAAGGAGAAGGAGATGTGGATCTATGTCGTCTTGGAGATCTAATATTTAATAAGTAAAGAGGTCAGAAACAGACACATACCTGGCCACTTGTGTCAATCAGCACAGATATACATGAGTGCCTGAAAGGTAAAGGCTGAACAAAAGCCAGGCTCCAGAGAACCACGAGTCCATTTCCTATAGAAGAATAAGTTAGAAGGTTCTGCCTAGGCCCTGATTGTTAACAACGTAAATACAGTCTTAGTATAGCTAGGGCTACAAAACTGTAAGCCAGAAAAATGTCACTGAACAGTTTCTATCAGCTACACATAAACACACAGAAAGTTGACTTAAACAGCAATTGATGCTTAATTAAGAATCAAGAGTCCATTCTAGGTTATTCCAAGATCTCACGTTCTTGATTATAGTTGAATAAATCTTTATCACCAAAAAGTCAATAAAAAACAAAACACTTATTTCTTATTCTTGCCAAGCACCACGTTAAGTTTCTCACTCCTAAAGGCAACTCTAGGAATAGAGACTTATTAACCCCTTTCACCAATGAAATGTTAGGTTTCCAATAAGGTGGGCTTAAGTTCCCCTCATTTCATGACATTGTAAATTGCCTTAGAAGTGATAAAATCAAAGTAAAGGGCAAGAACTAGTTTCTTTGGGACTTTCGGTAAAACCCAGGGCTATGTTCTGCACTTACCTGGAGCGTCTTCTGTGCGGGGATCGAGAGCGACTCCTTCTCCTGTCTCTCTCCCTGGACCGGGACCTATCTCGGCGCCTGCGTTCTCTCTCCCGGGAAGTGGACCGGGACCGCCTACGCTCTAACACAAACAAACAAAATTGCAGAGCCGAAAATTACCTCAAACATTTAGAGCTGCACTGTTCAATATGAATATAATGTGAGCCATTTCTAGTAGTCAATTAAAAAAGTAAAAAGCAGGTGAAATTAATTGTAACAATGTTATTTGGCTAAATACATATATTTCCAAACTATTAACGTTTCCACATGTACTCAATATAATAAAATTGAGATTTTTTTTACTTTTTTTTAATACTAAATCGAGGAAATACGGTATGTATCATACAATTAAACAGTACTTCTTAATTCTGATTTAGCACATCTTAAGTGCCCAAATAGGTGGATCCAGGCTTCACTGAACTTTTAAGAAAATCAAGTCTTGTACTAGTTTAAGGTGGTGAAAACTAACCAGGGGACGGAACCGAGGGTCTAAGTTATAAGTCCTGTGTTCTGTACATGGCACTGCCTCATTTCTGGGAATGGCGACCAGAAGACCTTAGGAGGTGAGCTCCCAGGACGCAAGAATCTAAAAATCGATTTCCCTACTACAATAAACTGGAGTAACCTAACATTAAGCATTAAGACACAGGCAGTATCACATGCTGAGTGTTACGGAATGTGCCATTAATTCTCACATAAGTTTTTAAAGTTCGGTAATATTACCCCCCATGTCTAATTACGGAAATTCGGACTCAGAAAGGTTAGATGACCTGCACACTGTCACCCAGAAATTAAACGAAGGAACCGTGGTCTAAGTCTAAATTACCCAGTCACAAGAATGTCAAAAGTTACTACAGGAGTCTGACAAAGAGCGAAACTCAATTTATAAAGGAGAAAAAACACCTGCTTTCAAACTAAAGGGCCGAGGTCTTTGTTCCCCCATTCACCCCCGCCCCCAACCCCGCTCTTCTCGGCAGTAAAGGGCCTGAATCTCAGCTGCTCTCGCACAGGAAAAAAGAGAGGGGAGATGTGCCTCCAACCGAGCACCAAATCCTACAAATTGCTTCTGGACTCACCCCTCCGTGGGGAGCGGCTGCGGCTGCGACCCATTTGGAGCGCTCCTCTACCTCACGCCGACTCGGAGACCACTGTGCAGCGATTTCCGGGAGGGCCGGAACTGCGCTTTCACTGCCGACTGGAAAACAGTGGAACGACTCACAAGGGTTCCGGCCTCTAAGGAACTGAGGCTGCGCAAACCAGCCCAGGATCGCGCGGCCCGCTTCTGCGCTGGAAGATGCCGGTGAGCAGCTGCTTGTTACCTCTGCTCCCTCGTGCTGGCTTTTGTTTCGCCGTGGGCATTAAAGTGTGCTAGTTGATGTTATTATAGAAATCTGGAAAAACGCGTATGTCCACCACCCTAACAGTTTTCATTCCCCCACCCCCGTTTTTCTTTCCAGTTCTTGTCCACATGCACAAAATATTTCATATCAAACCAATTCTAACCTGGGCACCACGGTGGGTCAGGAAGCAGAGGGAGCGAGGGGAAAGCATGGGTAAGAGACTTGATTGTGGTTTTTGAAGGAAGGAATGGGAGATGCAGGGTAGGTGGGTTTATTTGTGATTGGCTAGTTTGAAAAATTTCAGCGGGTTTTGGGATGTAGGGGCTGTCCAGGGTTGTTTCGTAGCTGGCCCTGGACTCATTAGGGCAAAGGAATAGTGCCTGGTTTGTGAAAGGTTGGTAAAGAAGGGGGTTAGAGGACATAGGCTACCAATTCAAAGATACTCTCCTAAGGCTGCAGGTGTTAAAACATGAGAAAATAAAAGAAACAAAAAAGCATGATTAATAAAATTATTCACATGACCATTTATTGCACACCTGGGTACCAGAGGATTGATAGTGAAAAAGACATGCCTGCTCTTGAGTAGACTGCTGGCCACTGAGGGATACAAACTAGCCAACAGTGTGAACCTGCACTGATAGGGAAAGAACATTATGAGGGCACCTAAGACTGATACCTAACTGGTTTTGAGGGGGAGGGTTGTCAAGAGAAGTTCCCAGAAGGAAGTGATGTCCAACAAGACCTTAGGGAGGAGTAGAAATTAGCCAGGTGATGTTTGTAGTGGGGAGAGGTGGAAGAGATTGTGGGGGCAGAGGGGGCTGCACATACAAGGGTGAGGATGGGCTATGCAGAGAACTGAAAGTATGGCAGTCACTTGGGGAACAAGGAGTGGAAATGTAATGACAAGGCCAGAATAGATTTGGAAACTATGGCAGTTACCCTGAAGCAAAGGATGGGAGGGAACCAGATTGAGTTTATTCAGAGAACACTGATAATGTACAGGCTTGACTGGGGAAATGGCATAGGAGACCAGTACAATAATTTGGATTGTAAATTACAATGGCCTGTACTAGAATGGTATCAACAGTTATGGTGGGAAGTGCTTAAATTTGAGAAATAGTTGGTGAAATAGAAAAACTTGGGGATGTTTGTATGCAGAGGGTGAGGGAATTAGAAGGTTCAAGAATGACATCCAGGTTTCAGGTTAGTGAAACTAGGTGGATGGCAGCATCATTTGCTAAGATAAGGCATGTAAGATCAATTTTGGGGAAAGAAGATACATTCATATCAGGACAAGGTAATTTGAAGTGCTATTTTGAACACCCAAGAGGAGATACCAAGTAGATGTGTATTTGGAGCTCAGAAGAGATCTAGGCTGGAACTACAGAAAAAGGAGTCATCAGAATACAGATGTTCATTTGAAGCTGTGGAGGAAAACAGGCCACAAAAACTTTTTTTTTCAAATATATTTTTTTTAAACCTGAGATGAATTTCTTCAGTGTAATTTTTCTCTATAATCTCGGATTTTTAAAAAAACCGTATCTTTATTGATTTGAGAGAAGGGAGACAGAAACATCAATGATGAGAGTCATTGATTGGTTGCCTTCTGCAGGCCCCTGGCTGGGGATCAAGCCCCCAACCCAGGCATTTGCCTTGACTAGGAATTGAACCAGGACCTCCGGATCCTAGGTGGTTGCTCAACTGCTGAGCCACACCTGGCTGGGCCACAAAAGCTTTTTTTGAAAGCTGCTTATGGTGGGTAGTCACATCCTAGGCCACTACCTTCCAAGGCAATGAATGGTCAATCTTTACCTTAACTGAGCCTGTTTGTTTGCATCTACGATAATATATCTCTGGAATATCAATTTTCCTTTTTCTGGACCCCTCAAAACTCAGGCACTGTTCTGCAGAGACCACAAATTCTCTCACTGTTAATTGTTCACTCTTAACTATCCTGCACCCACCTAAGTAAAAGAACTGTGTCTATCATTTTACTTTTAATCCAATCCCAGAGGTCGCCTCCCCCACTTTGCTTTGTCCCACCTCCCTAATCTATCACCAGTGGATTTCATGTAACTCCCTTATGGCTCCTCCTTAGATTTTAATGTATAAAACAAGATGCAAGACTGCCATTCTCCAGAGCACTGTCTCAATCCGTTGAGGTTCTCCTTTCCGGCATTCGTTGACAGTTTGGTTCAAACTCACAAAAATTCACGGATTTGAATGCTTTTACATTGGCAAAGCCCTGAGAGTGCATGAATTCACCCACCTCCTGCAAATTGAAGAAAAAAGGCCTGGAGATAGCCACAGGAGGAATCCTCAAAGACTAAGGAATGGTCAGAAAAACAGAACGAAAACTGGGTGAGTGTGGTATGAGAAAGTTTAAGGCTGTTTTTAAAAAAATATGTTTTCATTGATTTCAGAGAGGAAGGGAGGGGGAGAGTGAGAAACATCAATAAGAGAATCATTGATTGGCTCCCTCCAGCACGACCCCTACTTGGGGAGCAAGCCCATAACCTGGGCATGTTGCCCTGTCGGGGAACTGAACTCTGCTAGCTCCTGGTTGATGGTTTGACATTCAACCACTGAGCAACATCTGCTGGCTGCTTTTTTTTAAAATCCTCACCTGGGGATATTTTTTCCATTGCTTTTCAGAGAGAGTGGAAGGGAGAGAGAAACATCAATGTGAGAGACACATACCAATTGGCTGCCTCCCTGCACAGGGGCTGGACTGGGGCCAGGATCGAGCCTGCAACCAAGGTACATGCCCTTGACCAGAATCAAACCCGAGACCTTTCAGTCCGTGAGCCAGCGCTCTCGCCACTGAGCCAAAACGGCTGGGGCTAGGCTGCTTTTTTTAAGGACAAAAAAGTGGTTAATTTTAAATGTTAAAAGGAGTGAAAAAAAATCCAAACACATGGAATCTATAGGATTTAGCAACAAAGTCTTTGTTGACTCAGGAAGTTTTCGTGAGGTTGAGCTGTCAATGGCTTTTGAATGAAGACAGTTTGGAGAATGCTGTGGAGTTTGGTGATGCAGGGCAAAATATGGTAGTTGGTAAATGTGTGACTGGTGGTTTTTCAAAGATGGGAGAAATTCAGCACATTTAAATAGTGAGTGAAGGAGTCAGTAGAGAGGAAAAAAGTAGAGAAAGGGAAAAAACAAAGGATTAAGTTCTGTAAAAGGACACCCTGAGATCAACCTTAGGCAGGAAATGGCTCCTCCCCTTTAAGATGTGGGATGGACATTGGGTTCTGCTAGGGCTGCTTCCTTATTTACCGATCAGGTTGCCCTCTCTCAGGATGTACATTGTCCAGCAGTGTGTATCTTCAGCATTGTATCTGGAAGAAAATCCTGTTTTCAATACATGGTTTGAAGTTCTCTCATTCTAAAGGCCATTTAGATGGAATTTGAGTGGGGAGGGTGGGTTAAGGTGAATACTTGTTTCTTCCCCAACTGACCCTTTTTTTTCAATAAAGGCAAATTGTATTTAAAGTATGTGTGTGTACCAACATTAACCATCTGTGATTCTCTGGAAATGTACTATCTCTAGCCTTGGTTAAATTTTGTCTTACCTTTGCCAGCCCTGTTTCATACAAAAAGTATCCTTTACAAAAGTATCCTACTTTGTCATTCCATATGGATGCCTGCTGTTGAGTCAGTAATTTTCCCCCAAATTAGATGTAGTCTGACCACTAGTTAACAGTGATTGATGATGTTTGAAACTTGGCTTTTATACACCTGTACCCTGGACCTTGGGAAGAATTTCAGACTCTCTGTTTGGGGAGGGAACTGTACTATGCCGTTTGTTTTTTAATAGTCAAGTGATTAGATCCACATTGCTTGAAATTATGGCTCAATATATCATTTTAGGTGATTGACAAGTTATCTATCATTTGTACCCTGGCTCTATTATCTTTTCTTCTTCTTTAAAATATATCTTTTATTTATTTCAGATAGAGGGGGAGAGAGGGAGATAGAAACATCATTGAGGAGAGAGTTGTCATTGATTGGCTGCCTCCTGTATGTCCCCGACCGGGGAATGAGCCCACAACACGGGCATGTGCCTTCACCCTGGGAATGGAACTGAGATCTCCTGGATCCTAGGTCAATGCTCAACCGCTGAGCCAGGCCCTGTCAGGCTCTTTTTTGTTCTTTACCTGGGTTCATCTTTAAGGGAATAAAACCTTTGACATAGTTTCGGTATCAACAGTCCACTATTCTAGGTCAAATCTATTTGGTAGATCTTTCTGCAAAGATGGAAATACTCTATATCTGCACTGCCCTATATTGTAGCTACTGGTTACATGTGATTACTAAGCACTTGCAATAGGCCTACTGTGACTGAGGAAGTAAAATTTAAATTTTATCTTAATGAACTTAAATTTAGATAGCCACAGTGACTCTTGATAACACTATTTTTGCACGTGATGTTGCAAATTGTTCATGTACAATAGTGATAGTGTTCAAAGGCTTGAAGTTAAATAAAATCTTGGCTGCTAGCCTTGGCCCAAGGACTGAAGGATCTCGGGTTCGATTCCAGTCAAGGGCATGTACCTTGGTTGTAGGCTTGATCCCCTGGGTGCAGGAGGCAACCAACTGATGTGTCTCTCTCACACTGACGTTTCTCTCTCTCACTTCCAATCTCTCTGAATAGCAATGGAAAAAATATCCTGGGGTGAGGATTAAAAAAAAAAATGTTGGCTGCTAAACATTTGGTGAAAAAGCTACTAACTACCATTGTTCATTTAATTTTGGTTTGCTAAGTTTCAAGGAAAATATATATATATACAGTAAAGCCTTGACTTTGCGAACCTTCGTTTAATGGACTTCGGATTTAGCTGACAAAATTTCTGGTCCATATGTCATATGTGAAAATTAACACCCCATTATTTTAAAATGCTTTGAACCAAGATTTGCTTATAGTTAAATTAACAGAATTTTTTTGTTAACTTATTTTTAACAAATTTTAGCAAATAGGTCATATGTTGGGAAAAACACTAATAATTTCGCTGACATAATTAAATACTACATATCTACAACTACAGTCTATATATTTAAATCCACGAGTTGCCCTAGCCAGTGTGGCCCAGTTGTTAGAGAGTCGGCCTTCGGTCTGAAGGATCCCAGGTTTAACTCCAGCCAAGGGCATGTATCTTGGTTGCAGGCTTTGCCCTGGTGGGGGCTGGAGCAGGAGGCAACTCATCGATGTGTCTCTCTCACATAGATGTTTCTCTCTCCCCTCTTTCCACTCTCTGAAAAAGCAATGGAAAAAATATCCTCGGATGAAGATAAAAAATAAATAAGTCCGTGAGTCACCACTGGTAAACAGGATTGGGCAAGTGATTAGCACTTGATTACACCGCATTGAGTTTGGTATTTGGTTCTGTTGTCGAGTGGTGTGACTTTCTGCAGTACTGATAAGAAACAATCTTCAGTGAAAAAAGGTTAGGTGCAGTCCGGCCAGGTGTGGCTCAGAGGTTGAGCATCAACCTAGGATCCAGGAGATCACTATTCGATTCCTGTCAGGGCACATGCCCGGGTTGCAGGCTTGATCCCCAGTTGGGGGCATGCAGGAGGCAGCCGATCAGTAACTGTCTCATCATTGATGTTTCTCTCTTTCTCTCTCCCTTCCTCTCTCTGAAATCAATAAAGATATATTAAAAAAAAAAAAAAGGTTAGGCGTAAAATTTGCTTCCATTTGAATAAAATATATGTTTCTGTACATATGGAGTATCTCTGAAAGGATATTCAATTAGATCATCACTGTATATCCTTTGTGCTGTTCGAGTTATGTTTCATGTGTTTGTATTAGTCACTAAAAAAAAAAATACCCAAAAAACCACCCAAATTTCAAATCTAACCACAGAGCCTCAAATATGAAAGATGTGAAACAGAATGGGTAATGGTATTATCTTCACTATCAAAAGAGCTTCCTTCATATAAAGAAAAGGAAAACTTGCCAAAAACACAAATGGATTCAAGATTTGGAATTAGCACTTTACAAAAGAAATATATATTCCTCGCCCAGCTCGCATGACTCAGCAGTTGAGCACTGACCTAGGATCAGATCACAGTTTGATTCCTGGTCAGAGGACATGCCCCAGTTGCCGGCTCGATCCCCAGTAGGGGGCATGGAGGAGGCAGCCGACAAATGACTCTCTCATCATTGATGTTTCTCTCTCCCCCTTCCTCTTTCTGAAATCAATAAAGACATATTAAAATGTTCTTCCTCCTTAGAAATTAAATAAAAGCAAATACCCATATTTTACTTATCAGATTGGAAACGTTATTTAAAAATACTCACCCGAGGATATTTTTCCATTGATTTTTAGAGAGTGGAAAGGATGGAGGAGGGGGAGAGAGAAACATCTATGTGAGAGAGACACATTAATTGGTTGCCTTGTGCTCATACCCTAACTGGGCGGGGGATCAAGCCTGCAACCAAGGTATGGGCCCTTGACCAGGAATTGAACCTGCCATCCTTTGATCCACAGGCCAATCTTCTAACCACTGAGCAAAATCGGCCAGGGTGGAAACTTTAAATAAATTATTATGGCCCTGGCCTGTGTGGCTCAGTTTGGGCGTTGTCTTGTGCATGATAAGGTTGTCAATTCAATTCCCAGTCAGGGCAGATGCCCGGGGTTTCAGGCTTGATCCCCAGTAGGGGGAGTGTAGGAGGCAGCCGATGAATGTTTCAATCTCGCATCAATGTTTCTTTCTCTCTCCCTTCCTCTCTAAAAATGCATACAAATATTTAAAAGTAACTAACTAAATAAATTCTGCACAATACTGGTGCATGTGTATGAAATTGGATGCTCATACTTTACTGGTCAGAGTTGGTTGTTACCTTTCTAGCCATATATAGTGGTACCTCGGTTTTCGAACATCTCCGTTGACGAACATTTCGGTTTATGAATGCCATAAACCTGGACGTAAATGCTTCGGTTTTCAAACATGCCTCACAAGTCGAACATGCCACACTGCTTCCACTGAGTGCAAGATCCTGAGGCCTAGCTGTCGGCTGTTGATCCCTTGGTTTTCGAACATTTCAGAACTCGGTCTTCCAGAACGGGTTACATTAGAAAACCAAGGTACCACTGTATATGTATCAAAAGCCTTAAAACATGCACACACACACTTTTTATCTCACATCTAAGAAGGGAGTCTGAGGAAACAATGCAACAAGTAGAATAAGATACATGTAACAGGGATACTACTCACAGCAAATCATGGGAGGGAAGCCAGTGTTCACCAAGTAAATGATTAGTTAATAATAAATTATGGTACAACCAAGTACCTATTAAAAGCTAAGTTTCCAAAGAATATTTAAGATTAAAAAATATCACAGTACATGGGAGAAAAAAGATCAGCAAAAGAGAACAGCATACACATTCTGATCTCATGGGTGGGAATGAGAAATATACACCTGCAGGAACCTGGAAAGGTGTATATCAAAATATTAACACTAACTGTTTCTGGGGATAGATTACAGGTGATTTTCGCTTTCCTATTACTGTTTGGTTTCTCCCAGGTTTTTAAAATAAGCATGTATTGCTTTTTAAATGGGGGAAAGTAATAAATGGTATTTAGAAAAAACCCCAGAAAATACAAAAATCCAGTTATACTTTTTCATACTTCTAATTTTTAAACTACTAAGAATCATGATATCTAAATCTACATATGAAAAAAGAACATGTGTAGGGAGATACTTTTATATAGTAATAAAATATTATCGATTACAAAGGGGTAGAAATATTGCTTTATTTGAGAAGCTTACATCCAAATTATTTTTAGGTGTTTTAAAAAGTCCTAACGACACCAAGAAGAAAACATACAGCTTCCACGGAATAAAGACAAAAAAAACAGGGTTGATGATAGCCCCAAATGATACTTCCTAAAATAAAAAAAAATGTAATATTTAACATTTCTTCTTTTGAGGCAGGGTAAATGAACTGCACACATCATAGGTAAAATTTTCTTACTTTACAAGGAGGAAGGATTGTCATCCTGTCCTGTTTTGATGCTTATGAAATACAAAATACAAAATCCACTCTTCTGATCAAGATGATGGAAAAAATCATTCTTCAACATTTCATTTCTCACCCAATGAAATCCAAAGGTCTGTTGAATCCACCTTTTCAATTCGTGTACTGCCTATGACAAAAAGAAAAAGTTCAATGTTTATTTAAAAAAAAAAAATTCTGGACTTCTCTTATGAAAAAATAATCATGGCTCTGCCCAGGTAGCTCAATTGGTTAGAGCATCGTTCCGACACGCCAAGGTTGAGGGTTTGATCCCCAGTCAGGGCGCATAGAAGAATCAGTTAATGAATGCATAAATAAGTGGAAGAACAAATCAATGTCTCTCTTTAAAAAAATAATAATCTAATGCTTCAGAGATTAATATAAATTACCCTTAAGATGGTAAAGTCTAGGGTAAGAAGTACTCAAAATTATTTAATGTACAGTAAGAAAAGATTACTTCACTTCTAAAATAAGCCAAAGCATTTTTGATTTCTGTAAAATCCAAATAGAAGTATGGAAATATACTTTCAAAATTATATGGGAAGATTCCATAGACTTAAAAAAAAAAATCAATTGAAAATAGATATTTTAGGTAACACTAAACACCTAGTTTAAGGGAATAGAGCAGAATTCCAAAATAGGTACCCCATCAAGTAAATCTGATTGCATACTGTACCAGTTTTCTCCATAAAACTTTATTTGAAGGTAACTTTACAAAGGAATGTCAACCAAGGTTCTGGTTCCTTAACTCACCAGCATTCTCACATTATTCATATTCTAAAATAATTGGAATGTCTGTCTTTTATCAGTGATAAAGGTAGAAAGAAAGGCAATGTTTGAAGATGTCTTCTTGACTTTTCCATTCAGTAGGAAATCAGTGAGGTTTCAAGTATAAATTGGTTTGTCCTGTGGAATTAATAAAATGTTTATACTTAACAGAAGACTATATTTACAGTTGAAATCCTTACATAATCAATCTAGATGAGAAATTCAGGAAAGATCTTTTTTAAATCTATAATTTTAGCCCCGGCCGGTGTGGCTCAGTTGGATGAGTGTAGTCCCGTGTACTGTGGGATCGCCGGTTTGATTCCCGTTCAGTGCGTATGCTTGAGTTGTGGGTTCGGTCCCTGGTTGGGGTGCGCGAGCGATATGGCCGATCAAGGTGTCTCTCTCGAGTTGACCTTTCTCTTTCTCTATCTCTCCCCCTGTCCTCGTCTCTATCTCTAAAAGCAATAAAATTTAAAAGAAAAATGTATAATTATAATAAAACTCTAAAGACTTTTAAAAAATGTTTTGAAGAAAGAACCATCTATACAGTTCTAAAACATTTAAGCCAATTACTCTTCTCTATAATAATTAGTTTACATGTAAATTGAAAATTAACACACCAGCATATAAGCAAGGAAGATTAAAACAAAAGACTGTATGGAAAACTGCAACATTTCCTACAAACACAATTATCCCATAATAAATTCTTTCCCAAGCACATAATTTCTATCATTGGTTCAAACATAATAATAGGGTTATGCATACCTGTACTTCTTCTTCTGAGACACATTTATGGCATAGGCATTTACACAGCCATCCAACCTTTTCCCCTGGAGACAAAACAATAAACAAATATAAAAATAGGAAGGAGACATTAAATGCCTTGATCAAAAGAACTGGATCCACCCTAGCTGGTTTGGCTCAGTGGTTAGAGCGTCTGCCCTCAGAATGAAGGGTCGCAGGTTCAATTCTGATCAAGGGAATGTACCGTGTCTGCAGGCTCAATCCCTGGCCCTGGTTGGGGCCAGTACAGGAGGCAATCAATCAATGTGTCTCTCTCACATGGATATTTCCCTCTGTCTCTCCCCCTCCCTTTCACTCTCTCTCTAAAAAAAAAAAAAAAAAAAAAAAAAAAAAAAAAA